AGGGCTATAACTAATAGACCTATAGAAGAATATAGTTAGATTAAATAAAATACCGATAAACTAAGTAGCTAAGCTAAGATATAATACCGAGCGACTTATCTACTCCGCTCTTATCTAGGAGTATTATATTATAATTTAGGAGGGGCTAGAGTACTTCTATATAACTAATAGGATCGCTCGGGTACTCCTCCGTATTCTATATAATAAACCTAGTACGCTCTACTACTTTCTATATAATCTAAATAGCGAAGTAGATATAGAAATAGAAGCTATCCTTAAAAATACTTCTATCGTAAGAATACTATCTTTATATTTAATAGTATTCCGCTCGCCTATACGAGATTAGGAGTAGAGGAATTCTATACGACTAGATATTCCTTTATAGAAGACTAGTTTCGATTATACTCGCTCTCGTATTCCCGAAGATAAATTCTACTAACTTCCTCTTAACTCCGATAGTACCGCGCCTAAATTTCTAAGCCTAGATTCTAGTTCGACCTATAAACTATCGTTATTACCGCTAGAGCCCCTAGAATTATTATTATATTAAGTATCTTCTAAATCTCGAGTTAGCTATACCCTATCCGATATAAGATATTACTTATACTCGTTATAATTACCCGACCCCGACTTAAATCCGGTAACGTACCGTAAACGAATCTTTAGTTAAGTTCTGTTATCTCTATCTATCTAACGCGTAGCCCGATAAAGAGAGATAATCGATAGTAGAGGTCTAGATAGCTAGTCCCGCTACTATAGCGTATAATTCTATACCTAGAAATATTTACTCGGGTTATAGTCTAGCGGTCTTCTAGATAACTATTATCTAAATATAATACTATATCGTCGAAGTAAGGATAATTAGTAGTATCCGATTACTTTAGAAGACTTAGTCTATCTACTTAAAGTATAATTAGACGAAAATATTAACCGATATAAACCCCTCGGAGGGTACGGGGTATACGGCGCGCCGTTTAAACTTACTTATATTATATACGGCTATACTATTATCGGAAAAGGTACTATAACTAGGCTATAGTAAGAAGTCTCTCGCGAAGCAGAGGTATACCGAATTTTGCGTAAGATATAAGGGTCCGCTATTCCTATTTTCTTAGGTATAATCAACCTAGTAAAAATTTATTTCCTTTATAGTACTAGAGAGATTCGCTATATACTCGTGATAGCCTAAGAGGGGGAAAGTATAGTATCGATAGAGCTAACGCCTAAGCTTCTATAGAGGATTTACTAATCGAATAAGGAAATTAGAGCTTTAGGAATTATCTACGAAGACCTTCGATATAAGAATATTCTTTAGAATAAATAGCTTAGGCGGATAATAATTATCGACTTTTACTACTCTATATTAAAACGTCGACCGACTTTATAGTAGCTACGAGTCTTAAAACGACGATACCGTTAACTAGAGATAGTTAGTTCGAAACGTCTTTATATAACGTAAAGGGTACTTAATCTTATTAGATTAGTAATTTAATTATATATAATAATAAAGTATATAGTATTTCCGGCCGTATCTACCTAAATTAATTAGGATTTATTTTTATTATTATTCTTAATACCCGCTTCTCTACTATATATACTAGCCTTAGGTAATATATAATCCTATATATATTAATAGTAACAAATTAATTACCTAATTCTAGCTCTTAGACTTAACTTTATATAATACTATAAATAATATAAAATAATTAATTCGACTATAAAGCCTTAGTACCGATATTATAGATTATTATATACTAATCGAAAAAATTACGATAAGCGTCTACCGCTCGGTAATCTTAACTAATAAGATTATTTACTTTCCTAGCTTCTCTATATATTTTTTATATTTTACTTAGTAACGATCTCCTACTTCTTCCTTTCCTTCTCTCCTTTTAATACTTTACTTCCGCTACCTAGCTCTCTATAGTAGAAATAGTATTATAGGATAACTTCTTACGCTCTAGAAGAAATATTAGAACCTCTGCTAGGCTAAAGACTTATTCGGGTATCTTACTAGTAAACTAATATATAGGTTACTCGACTATCTCCTAGTTATATTCCTCGATATATTACTTTTAGCTCGGTAACTACCTAAAAACTATATAAGTCGAAATATTCTAATCGGTAGGTTTCTTATCTAAACGAATATAGTATATAATTAAAATAGAGTAAGGTACTAAAGAAAAATAGCTATCTTAATTCTTAAACTAATATTTTGTTCCTTTTTTGTTATCTTTTAGCGAGACTAGTATATTTTAATTATATATTTCGATTACTTATTAGAGTTAATAATTATTTTTGTAGTATTCTAATACTTCTACCTTCTAAGTCTCCTAATAGAAATTACTAGTAATACCTATAGCTCCTAAAAGTCCGGTAAAGAGCCTAAGGAATCCCTTCTAATCTACGAGGTCGTAACCATAGTAAAATCGAAATCTATAGATAAGCCGGCTATTCCTAATAATCTTTCCGAGATCCGGATACCCTTTTACTTTAAAGTACTCTATAAAAAAAGTTTTATCTTTACTAATAGAGATTTTACCCGTATAGAAATTAGTAATAAGGAGTAGGATAATCGGTAAGTTAAATACTCCTAACTTTAAATCTATATATACCTACTCCTAGTCTATAATTCTAGTAATATTAAATTCTTCGTTAATAAGTATTTAGTCCCCCTTCTTATCTATATACTTTAAGTAGAACTTCCTATCGTCGAGAAGTCTCTAAGAATAAGCTTCCGGGACCTTATCTAAGAGAAAATAATAAATCAAAAACGTATCGACTATCTAGTCGATATATAACTCCTATCGAACGATAAGATCTAAAATTAATCGGATATATACGCTAAAGTATAGTTTAATAGAGAAGAAAGGATCTAGCGCTTTTATCTAGGAATTATAAAAGTTAGTTAAGGACTCTCGAGTAAATAGTCTAAGATTATAAGAGCCTAGATAGTATATAGAGCCTATTATAGCGAAAGGATAAGCCTTTAGCTTAATATAAATATCTATAAGTTAACTTACTACCTTTTTCCTTTACTCGGGAGTAGCTAGAGACTAGCGTAAGGAACTTCCTAGTAGCTTCTCTATTAGGATATATCTAACGCTAATAGGGTTCGGTTTATAAAAATTAAAGTCGAAAACTTTCGGAACTAGGACTTAAGTTTTACTAAGAAAATATAGGGTTAAAACCTCGCTACGTAGAATATAATCTCGTAGCTCTACTAGCGGCGAAGTCGCGTTAGATCTTCGAATACGCGCTAGCTAACTAATACTATTATCGAATAATATCTCGATATAGTAATTTATTTCTCCTATAACTAAGCTTCGCGTTAATCTATTATATCTAAGGTCTTACGAAATAGAGTAAGTAAGGCTACCCCGAAGAGCTAATACTCGAGAAATAAGCGTAGGAATATTAATTTTATTAATAAGTTTAGTAATCTTATCCTATTCGGCTTTTCTAGCGGCGAGGTCGTATTTAGCCTCTTCCTATTTATAAGAATTAGTAAGGCCTAGAATACTATTATCTTAGACTTATCTCCTATCTCGGATAGGTATAGTAACTTAGTTCTAGATATTTCGTATAAAGATAACGATTATATAGAGTATATTCCCTATATATACGAATAGAGGGTTTATTATAATCTTAAATATTATATAGCTATATTATTATTTATCTTATATCTCTTAAGACTATAGAAATTAGAAAACTCGGGTAGGTCTACTATTTATATAATAAGTTATTATAGTATAGCTCGCCTAAATTTAAGTCTATTATAGATAACCTAATTCTTAAGTATACCGCTAATTTAATACGTAGCGACTATATAGACCTCCTAGAGCTCTTACCTAGAGCGCTATTACCTAAACTTAAGTCCTTACTTCTTCTTTATTATAGTCAAAAGTCTCTATTAGTCTAAGTATTATATATAGAGTAGCTTATATAGCGCTTAGCTAGAAGATTTAATAGGCTATACCCCTTATTTATATAATAATCACACAAGAAACTATAAGTAGACGATATATTAGAAGTTATAACTAATACCTAACTCTAGTTACCGAAAGGTTAAAAAGAGGTTAACTTCCGTAGATTACTTATTTTACTATAAATTACTTCTTTATAATCCCTTATTTACTATATCGATTAACTATTAATTCTTTTTATATCCTTTTCGGTTAAAATCTATAAGAATACTAAGCCCTACTATTAAATATATAAAAGAAGGCTATATAAGCTAGGTAGAGAGTAGATTAAGATATTATACCGCCTATAGTATATATAATATCTATAATAAGCTAGCTCTATCGGTACTAATTAATATTCTACGATAGAATAAGAATCGATAGATAAGACTTAGGAAGTAGTCTAAGGCCCTCCGCGAAGCTTTATTTTAAACTCTTTACTACCTCTCTACTTTTACTATTATTTATCTTTTGTATACCTACGTCTATAACTATCCTCCTACTACTATAGACCTTAAATAAGATAGTAATTATACTATATATATTCTTTCAAAAATCTTTCGTTATTAATTATCCCTATTTTATAATTATAGCGACTAAGAATTAAATATATTTTCTATTATACTAGAATACTAAGAATAGGATCTTATTAATAGGACCTCCGTATATTTATTACTCGATAGTCTACGCGTTAGATATAATTTTCCCTATAATACTTATATTAGGGCGAAGATTTAATTTTATCCGGTTTTCTATCTTAACTCTCTTCCTCGTACGAGATTAAGTACTAGTAGATATAATAGTAATTATATCTAAACTTAAGGATATCCTATAAGATCTACTTCTACGAGGCCGATTCTCTGATATAGAGATTCTTTACTAAGGAATTACTTTTAGAGTTCACAAAGCTATTATATATACTTAGTTAAGCTATTTCTATAGCGCGATATACGATAGCTTTAAGGTATTTTTTATTTAGAAATAGAGGATATCTTTAGTCGCTTACTTTATTCTTAGAAATCTATCGATCGAGCTATTAATATTAAAGACGACACTCTAGAGACTATAGAACGTATTCTATCTTTTCTCTATCTCCGAGATTATAATAAGGATAGGTATATTCTTTAATATTATTAACCGATATCGACGCTTACTATCTATGATTATAACTCTAGTTTATCTCTTTTAGAAAATAAGCTAGAAATCTTAGAGCTAGCTAATCGAGTTACTTTTAATAATATTAAAGTATTTATCGCTACTAATAAGTATATAATCCTTCCTTTAAAAGCTCTAGCTACCCTAAAGCTCTCCTAATAGGCAGACAAAAACTAGTACTCTCCTATATTTAACGAAGTCGTATAAAAGGTTATAACGTTAGTACTATAATATAAATTATCTCTTCGGGAAGTAATTACCGATATTATATCGAGGTATATCTTCGATCTTATCTAAGACCTAGAGATAGTTTATACCTTAGATTCTTTTAGATATCTTAGGTCCCTCGTTATTATAAAATTAATTAGTAACGAGATAGTAAAACGGCCTTACGATAATTATATTTTACCGTTAGGTACTAGGATTAGCTCTTCTCGGCGCTATCAGTAATATACGAAATCTTTTAATATAAAATTAATAAGTAGAGAATATAGAGATCGAACTTTTTATTACGACTCTTAGAATATACGATATTAAAGCGTCCTATTTTAGTCCTTAGGTTTTATTACGTATAAAGGATCTAGTTCCTACTATACGGCTCTAGGATAGAGAAAGGAGAATAGAGTACTACTTATACGATATAGTTCCTATAGCTCCTAATACTAGAATTCGTAGTACTAAATAATATAATCTATAGTAAGATAGACGACTTCTTTAAGAATTAAATTTACTAGTATCGCTACTATAGTTTCTCTTTTAGCTTTAGGTATATTAATTATTATACCGGAATATATAAGGTTTTGATACTAGCTAATATAGCCGATTATAGGAATAGATAGCGCGATACTAAAGATAAGACTTACGGTCCTAGTACGGATAAGTAGTAAAAGCTTCTGTACTAGCTAAATATAATTAATTATAATTATATAAATAGTAAGATTATATCTTTTAATAGCTATAATAATATAAGGATATATTATAATATACCGTAACTTCTAGAGAATTTAGCGATAATAGTACGTATAGATTAACGTATATAGGATAACTTATATCTATATCCTAGTATTTTCCCTCTTTTACCGCCTAAAAATCTAAGAAGCTATAGTATATATTCCGCTACTTCGAATATTTTCTTAAATTAACCCGGGTTTTTCCTTCTCTCCTTACTATAAGGACCGACGAAAATAGTTAAGAAGAAAACTAAGTAGCGTCGAGCCTAAGAGGAACTCCTAAATCTAATATCTATCTAGGTATCTCTAAAGGTCGATTATATCTAGCTATTATTATCGTAAGTACTATTATCTATTTAATCGACTTTTTATCTAACTTTTTATAGACTATACAAAGGCCTAGTTATAACCGCTACGATCAGGAATAAGTAATATTATATTCTAGGATATTATCTTCGGAAATACCCGTAATTTAAGTAGTAGTCGGTTTTGTCTTTATATATTACCCTACCTTATATTTACGAGGATATTAGGTATACCTTTATATATTTCCTATATTTAGGATACTACGAGATAATAGATTCGCTAATCGATAATAGTATATCTAGTACGATAAGAGAGTATAGGAGAAGTATCCTTATCTACTAGGTATCCAGAATATACTAGCTTCCCTCTCTTAAGGCCCTTACCCGAGATTATATAGAATAGTTCGGCGAAGAAAAATCTATATCCGATATACTACGGACTATAAGTAAGATCTTTTAAACCTTCCTAAGGACGAAACCTAGCTTCTAAAGTATATCGAAAGAAACCTCCGGTACTCGTTAAGGTCTAGTAAGTTAAAGTTCGATATAGATAAACTTTATAAGGCTTTTAGTTAGGATTATTACTTCGATAATACTATAATAAGAATAATACTCAAGATACTCCTCCGTCCGTAGGAGTTTACCTCGTAGGACGGGAAGAGCGACTACGAACAGATATATATTTATAGGAACACAGAGGTAAAGGTATCGATTAGAAATCTACTAGACGGGATAGCTAGCGGGCGATAGTTAACAGAAGCGTAGACTAATAGAATACCCGCTATTAGGGAATCTTTTATCCCTTTTCTAAGTACTATAGATAAGCCTAGTACTATAGATAAGCCTAGTACCGCTTTTAATAAGCCTAGTACTACTTTTAACGAGCCTAGTACTACTTTTAACGAGCCTAGTACTACGGATAAGCCTAGTACTACTTTTAATAAGCCTAGTACTACTTTCGACGAGCCTAGTACTACTAAGGATTCTACTAATAGATTATATCTAACGAAGGTCTGCCTTAAGGATATAGCTCTTTACTAGTACTAGAAAAGTATATCCTTAAAGAGGAGAGCTAAACAAACACGAGCTCTTATTATAAAGGATCTCCCGATTCTAGGGAAAGATAGCTTAGTTTCGATTCTTATAGTATAAAAACTTCTACTATTAGGTTTCTAATAAGTATCTACGGGTCCTCGGTTTCTAGGTCTCCTTTTCCTACGGTTAATTATACTCTACTAATATTATAAATCTTAGATACTTATACTCGGTATAAAATAGGTAATAAATAATTAGCTATTTAATTATAAATAGTAATAAGTTAAATAATAACTAGCTATTAGACTTTTCTAGTATACTATCGAGAGATACTTAGTGAACTAGAGACTTAATATAGTAGGCTATAAGAAAGGTTATTATTATATTAGTAATTATTATTAGATAGATACTAAATTAATTCGAAGACAGAATAATCTTTATATATAGAGGACTTAGTATATTAGGTAGAAACGCGGTCGGAAGGTAGATATAGGTTAAGTTTCTCTATAACTTTATCTACCTACTATACGTCTTCGTTAGAATTAAGCTAAACTATACTAAGAATAGCTTCTACGGTAGTAGCTAATATACTATCCGGTATATTCCTATCTAAGTCTGGTCTTTAGTAGATAAATCTCTGTAAATTTAAGACTTTAGCCCTAGAGACTAGCTACTTATTATAGGCGTAAGCTTAGAGTATACTTATTCCTTACTCTATACCTATATATTAGCTAAACGTCTATACTAGAAGGTATAAATATACCCGTAGTATTATCTTCGCGATACTAATATTAAAGTAGTATAAGGTCGAGTACTTTATCTCCTATTAAGGCTAGCCGTATATTTCCTATAGATACTAGTCCCGACTCTTCTAAAGCCTCTTCTATTAAGTCTCGGGTATAGAAATAATACCTAATTACTTTTTCAAAATTTGTATTAAGTTCTGATTCTATTTAGTAATATTTATATTAGATTATAGTTTATAAAAGCTAAAAGTTTCGCGATAGTATATAAAAGTCCTTATAAGCTTTATAGAATTAGAATTATCTAATAGTCTACGTAATTATAATATCTATATAAGTATTAGATATTAAAGGACTATTCTTATGTTCGGTAGTCGACTTATACTAAGGTTAGTATAGCTTACTATTAATAAATATATAATATAATATATAGTATATATATAGAGGGTCTAAAAGGCGGAATTCTAGCCTAAATATAATATTACGACTATCTCCTACTTTAGAGCTATATTAAAGCCACGAAAATCTATAACCCTTTTATTAACCGCTATTTATACCGCTTTCTAGGTTTCCTCTACCGACCGACCCTCTTATACTCGTAAGCGCGTATTACGTTATATAAATATATATCGGATAGATAGTATATTAAATAAAAGTAATTAGACGATAATTACGGGGTATAACTATAGTAGACTTACTTAGTAGAAAAAGATAGTAAGTAGACCTACGGCGCTACTAAACTCGCTAGTAGCCGCTAATACTTTATTAGTAGTCTATACCTACTAGAGAATCGAAATATAAACGCGATACTTTTAATTATAAGATATATATAATAGATAGTATAACTATAGCTAGTACTAAATATATAGGGGTAGAGTAATTTATCTACTAGATAAGTAAGTATAGTTATTAAAGAAGATAAGCCGGTATTTCTTAATTACGGTTAAAAAAGATAAATAACTAAGAACGAAAATACGGATCTAGGAATTTTAATAATTCTCGATCTAGAGTTAGCTATTAGCTTACTTATAAGGTTAATTAGATTAGTTCGAGTTATAGCGAAGTACCTACTCGCCTCTATCTCTATTAAGGATATAGGGCTTAGGAAAGTTATTAGTAAACGGGATAGTAAAGTCGTGTCTAAAGCTTAAACATCGTAAGTTATACTCGCGCTCGAGGCTAGCTAAGATATAGGTACTATACAGCTTAAGGCTAGCTAAATTCTACTAGCGATTAATTAAGGTTAGACTAGTCTTAAATCTCGTTTATTATCGTGAACGGGGTATATCTTTTATAACCTTAAAGGTAGACCCTCGGTAACCGAAGTCCCTATAGGCGTAACTACCGTAACCACAGAGCTACAGGAAGTATAAATCTGCCGAATTTTGAGTACGCGATTATTAATATTTAATAAAATCATATCTTTACTAGAACACTAAAATAGTAAGTACTAGCTATAGCGATAAGATATAAAATATATTTAGGTAAATATATAGTAGGTACTATAGGTATAGGCTTAAAATTATAGCCTTATTACTAGTAACTATTATACGTGTTAGGCTCTCTAAATAGACCTTAAACTCTAGGGCTCTAGAGCTCGCTTATTATTCTACTTCTATTTAGTAAATACAATCTCAGAACTAATATTATAGTAGGCGTATAGAACCTATACCGTAGAAAAGCGCTTAGAATAAGAGTAGATCTTTAGAACTAGTATCGTATTAGCGTATATTACGGGATCGTCCTTTAACCTCTACTAGATATATTTCTATACTATTAGAAGTATATCTACCTAACCTAAGATAATCTAACCCCTATTACCTTACTACCTATAGCCTATATTTTTAGTAAATTAGAATTAATACTACTTATTAAGAAAATATTAGAATACTCTTATAAAAGAATATATAATTTCTATTTAAGCACGGTTTAGGGATCCTATATTCTATTTTCCTACCGAGCTATAGCTAGGGATAGGATTATAGGGACTATAGATTTAATTTCGAAACTTATAATAAGGCCGGGAGTCCTACGCGTAATTATAGGAATAGGTACTACGCTAGAATATTAGTAAAGCTATCCCGGGATCTCTTATCTTCGGTAAGGCTAGAATTACGAAACGGTAG